TAGCTTAAAACTCGTCAGGCACTAGGAAGGATCACTTCTTCTTCAGGGCAGGGAAGGCTACGCAGTACGCAGGCTACTGTCCCGCAGCGGCTGCCTCTCTGGTGGACTCCGGTACTGCACATTACTCCCGAGACGTTTGAAACAAATTATAATAATAATTTTTATTTTATTTTTTTAAGTGAAACATCCGGGGCTTTTCAGAAAACATCCGGGGCTTGAGCCCAAGTAGCCACCCCCTAGCGCCGCCACTGAACGGCACGCCAAGAAGTAACCTCAAGGCCCTGGTTAAAGGAGTTACTACCCGAGTGGGTGGAGGACTTTTTCGGTAGCTTTGAGGTCAAACCTGTTTCCCGGCCTGCTAGCCCCTGGCATGCTAGCCCCCTGCCGGCCACATTCCCAACAAGGCTTCTTTCAAGGACCCTTTCGCTGGGTCTCGTCTGGCCTTTGGAGGACCTCTGAGCCTCCACAAGGCTTCAAGGCAGCATGGAAGGAAACGCAAGGTCAGGATTCCAGCCCCGGCAGCCATGGTTCCGGCTCCGGTCCTAGCCCCAGCAGCCATGGTCCCAGGCCCAGAAGCCATGGTTCCGGCCCCAGCAGCCATGGTCCCTTCCCTAGTCCCTACTCTAGTCCCTTCTCTAGTCCCTTCTCAAGTCCCTCCTCTAATCACTTCCCTAATCCCTTCTTTAGTCCCTTCTCTAGTCCCTCCTCTAGTCCCTTCTCTAGTTCCCACTCTAGTTCCCTCTCCAGTCCCTCCTCTAGTCCCTTCTCTAGTCCCCTCCCCAGTCACCTCTCAAGTCTCCTATCGAGTTCTCTCTCAAGTCCTATTTCAAGTCACCTCTCAAGTACCTACCCTATGTCCCGTGCCGTTGGAGGCCCCGCCGCAGATTCTTCGGCCGGGGGTCCTGCCAACCCTATGCGGTGTGCCGTTGGGGGTCCCGCCGACTGCTCTCCTGCCGGGGGTCCTGCCAACCCTATGTCCTGTGCCGTTGGAGGTCCCACCGACAACTCTTCTGCCGGGGGTCCTGCCAACTCCATGTCCTGTTCCGTTGGAGGTCCCGCTGTCAACTGTCTCGCTAGGGGTCCTGCCAACTCCTAGTCCTCTTCCGTGGGGGATCCTGCCGAAGCCGATCCTGCCGAAGCCTGTCCCACCGGCTCCGGTTCCTGTCCGGCCGACACAGGGTCCTATCCGGCCTCCTGAGCTGTCCCGTCAGCGCCTTCCTGCCCGTCCTCCGGAGTTATTCCGTCGCCGCCTGCTTCGCCCTCGAGCCCGGCCCCCTGAGTGCCGCGGTCTTCGCCCTCGAGCCCGGCCCCCTGAGTGCCGCGGTCTTCGCCCTTGAGCCCGGCCCCCTGACTTTCTCGGCCGCGGTCCTCGCCCTCGCCCTCGGGCCTGGCCATCTGACTCTTCCAGCCGCTGCCTTCGCCCTCATGCTCGGCCCCCTGAGTTCGCCCGCTGTGGCCTTCGTCCCTCCATGGACTCTGCCTTGCCCCCGGGCCGTCGGCCCGAGACCCCCTCCATGGTCTCTGCCTTGCCCCCGGGCCATCCGCCCGAGATCCCTTCCGAGTCCTTCGCTGTGCTCCTGGGTTGTCAGCCCAAACCCGTCCTCCTGTTCATCTTAGCAGCTTTAAAGATCCCCTTAATAACTCAGTCATAAAATATAGTGGAGATTTACGTTTTCTAGGCTGGTCTTATAAATGTCAAAGATGCCATTGCAGTGCTTTCGGAAGCATTAATATAAAAAGTGAAATGCAATAACAGGTATATGAGGTGTCGTTTCATGAATATAATAAACAATCTGCTCAAACGTATTCAAAACATGTCAGAATAATATTGCACTGAGAATACTTTAAATGGAGAAAACAGCAGCAGAGCAATAAAGAGAAATGGGTCCCCACAGACGATTTATCAAACCAGAATAAAATCTACACTGAAGATAAATCACTGACACTAGAAAAGGCAGTGCAGTGAGAAAAAGAGAAATCACATCCCACACATCGGGATCTCCACTCGAATGAACACATTTCCCCGTCTTCACCTTTGATCATTTCTCAGAAGCTACTTCTCTCCCTTTCATTGTCAAAATGTCATCTAAGTGGAATCATTTACAATGATAAGAATCAATTCTACCTGCAAGCTCCGTCCTGCACAAGATACTTGTCAAATACATTTGGGGCCTCATTTGTCTGTTGCTCCTGGACACCACTGAGTGTTTCTTAATGACACAGCTCACTGCATGTGAATTCTGGTGAATTGGCTGCTTGTAGTTCATGAAATATTCTGCGTATTATAAATACACTGACATTCGATTTGAAAATCTGATTTGAGATGTGCTTTGAGTATTAATTCAACACAGGGTCATTCCTAATTGTCCCATATATGTGTGTGTATGTATGTATGTATGTATGTATGTATGTATGTATGTATGTATGTATGTATGTATGTATGTATGTATGTATGTATGTATGTATGTATATATATATATATATTATACTATTATTAGTATATATATATATATATATTTAGTACTATGCATATATATATATATGTATACATTATATATATATATGTATATATATATATTATCTAGTATATTATTGTTGTTGTTTGAGAGAGATGGGACCAAGATAAAATTAGTGATCTGGTTAAGAAACAGAACAACAGCTGCACATTGCTTGGTGTTTTGTATACCATACAATTGAGTGGGTTGGGACAAAGTTTTCTCATACCATTTAATTTTCCAAAAATAATTGTGTAATTAATCATATTGTAAAAGGCATGTGGACCCATTTCTTTTGTTGGTCCACATGTTTATTATATTAAGTGATGTATAACTGTATATCGATTAATCCTTTAGTTATTATAAATATATAGGTTGGACCTAATAAAAGGGCAAACCGTATTTTCTCAGTTTTTTTGGCAACCAAATAAGCTGATGCCTTGGTTGCCAGCCTGTGATTATATCAACACTTTAAAAGTTATAGTGTTTGAAGCCCTGGACTACAAGTGAGTTCAACTACCCCACCATCATTTAGCTTAGCTACAGTAGAGGCTGATCGAATTCATAGTTACAACACCTGAAGGCGTTTAATATAATGCCATTTCGATGTGAGACGGATCACGGTGTTATTAGTAAACCGAGCCAGCACGTATAACGCCTCCCCTAACTTTACACACACATTGCTTGGATATGATAACTGTTGTCTGCTGTGGCTTGAAACTTAGCCTTGAAACTTGTATTTTATGTTACTAGGCCAGCCTATTTTTTGCCGACTGTTGGGTTGATATACTGGTTCCCCGTTGGTATAATCATGGCTGTATTATGGGCGAGGTACAATTGTCAATGTTAGAACTCGCATTATGGCGTAAAGTTATGGTGCTTTATATA